GGCTATTGTGAATGGGATTGTGTTTTTTATTTGAGTTTCTGTTTGTTTATTATTGGTGTAAAGAAATGCGATTGTCTTTTGCACATTTATTAAAATGTTTTAATTTAAATATCATTCTTTAAAAACTAGTAACATGTTGGCAGATTGCTGAAACTGAAAAAAGTCTTTTAATTTCTGAAGTCCACAATTTCCTGATCATATATTTTGTTGAATATTTTCAGTATACTTATGTTTTTGATTTATGCTGATATTTTATTTGGGATTTTTGCATTTGTATTGCCAGTAACTAGGGTCTAGAAGTATGTGTGTGCTTGTGATTATGCATGTGTGTGTGTATGTGTGTGTATTTAAGAGTCTGTCTTCCTTGTAAAGCTTGGCTATTAGTGTTATAAAAAAACAATATGGAAATTTTCCATTAGAAAATGAACTCTGAAGTATTTTACACAATATTGTCTATAATTATTGAGATTTTAAAGAGCTCACACATTTTTCTGTGCCACTCAGGAGGTAATACATGTTTATTTTTTGAGATTTTTCTCAGTGTTTTGATCAGTTCAGATAGTTTTTCTCTTTATAATTAGGTTTTGATTCACTTACATTGTTCTAGAAAATTGCCCATTTCATCATTGGTGTGTGTGTGTGTCTGTGTGTGTGTGTGTGTGTGTGTGTGTGTGTGTGTGTGTGTGTGTATGATATATTTGCTTCTTAATTTCTAAGTTTTTATGTCTTCTTTATTGCTTACTTGAATATACTTGCTAGATATTTAGCTATTTGAATTTTTCTTCCAAAGATTTATTTCTAGGATTTATCAATTTTCTCATTTCTAATTCATTTTTAAATTTTTGCTTTTCTTAGGTTTATTTTCTTTTTCTTGTGATAGCTAAATTGAATTTTTTCATTTATTTTTATATTTCATTTTGAATTTTGTAGGCATTTAAGTCCTCAGAGTTAACACTGCACATATTTTGGTTTTAATAGAGAATTTTTTTGCATATCATTTTCTATTTATCTATTTATCTATCGAAGTATTATATAAAAACAGTGCTACTTTTTCTATAATTTCTAAATAGTCACTTAAAAATTTAATCCCAGTGGGATTTAGGAATACATTTTAATTTTCCAAGTGTTTATATTTTGTTGCTTCTGTTTTTTGCTATTCACTTGCAAAATTTCTCCATTAGGCAATTTATTCAGATTTTTATTGTGGTTTAGTATAGTATGCATTTTTGGTGTGCTTCATGTGTATTTGAAAAGACACAGTATTCTCTGTTGGTAGTACTGATAGCTAGATATATGTCTGTAATGGAATACTCAAGACAAAATTTAGTTCTAAGAGTTCTGAAAACATAATAGATGGAAAGTAAAAACTGTACAGTATCACTAATGGGACCAGCAGGCCTGAGGAACAGCCTTGGAGAAGAAATGATTTCGTCTGAAGCTGATGGACCTTCCCATGGTCAGCCAGTGACGGGGACAGGGGTAGGGTAGGCTGAGCTTAACCTGGCCTAGTACATTAGTACACAGCTGGACAGAAAGGTGACTCTCAGGGACAGGGTAAAAACAGGGCATGAAGGGTGGCTGGAGAGATCCCAAGGGCAAGCCTGTGTCAGGGACCTTCAGAATAGTTGCTGCTCTCTTCTCTTAATGAATTCTCGGTGAATCCTTGTTAAAGGCTGTTGTCTGCTCTTGGTCATGGGTCTTAAAAGAAAGGTATGTTCTAGACCTATGCAGGGAGGGATGGGGAAGTGAGGCCTCTGCCAAGGTGGGTAGGTAGCCTAGCTGAACTTCACTAGGCCCAGCTGCAACAAAGATGTTGGCGAGACAGCTGGAGGCAGTGGGAGGGGATGGACAGGAGGCCTTGGTCCCTGGTAAGGATGAGGCTGCCCTAGAGGTAAGAATCCTGAGGAGCTGTAAGGAATATCAGGGAGGCACCTTGAGGGCATTATTGCCTGCCATGCAGGTGGGTTTTTACAGTGATCATGACTGGAACCATCAATCAAATTTTATTTTAGACCAGATTAGCCGAATTAGAAGACATTTAAAGTAGACATGCTTTAACTAAACATTATTAATTCTATTATTTAGAGCCCTTCACCTTTTTCTATCAATAGGATCAGCCAAAACCTATGAGAAACATGTCTAATTCTTCTGTGGTTACCATATGGCTCTCAGTCTTCTGGCATTACAAATTTTGCTTTTTGTCCCATGTTGCTATAATATAATGTGAGATGAGGAGGTGCATTTGTTATATCTTAATTGTGGATTACACCTGCAATCAATCTAAAATGCCCCGCTTGGCCTAGTTAATGCTTTATTTGCAATTTCTATCCATTTCCCTTTTGTGTGTATATATCTTGGCTAAGTGTTTAACCTTTATTTCTGACCTTATTTGAGTTGTAGCTTGTGTACTTTGTATTTTGACCAAACATAAAAAGTCTTTCTCTATTAATGAGGGAGTTAATGACACTGATAGCAATTTTCAAAATGGATCCAGGGAAATGCTGTTCCCTACCCAGAATCTGTTACCTCCTGTTCTGTCTTCAGGGAGCCCTGATATTTACAGAAATGTACCCCTTTCTCCCAGGAAAATCTGACTCTACTCTTGCTCCCAGTGTAAGCAGGTGGGTCAAGGTCTAATCTCAGCTTTGTGCCAGTGACTGACTCAGGAATGGGCAAGTAACTTAATTCTGGACAAACATTGAGAAAGGAAATGGATTTGGTTGCTTTTCTGGAGAAAATTTAATTGCTCCTAAGTAAGTCACAGGAAAGGATGTTTTTTCTTCTGCAGAACCTCGTCACATTTCATTGGTGCTACTGGAAATGTCATAGATAGCAATCTTGCTGCCTGTCTGGGAATTAAGTCCTCACAAGGATGGCAGAGCAAAGAGATGGGAAGAATAAGGACTCTTGAAGGTACCCCTGAGCTTCTAAATCAATGGTCTAGTGGTTGTCCTACATCTTGTGATTTTGTTACATAAAACAAGGCTGTTTTTATTGTTGTTTAAGATAATTTAAATCAGGATTTCAGCTGCTTAAAGCAAGAACACTTAACCAACATAATATGTTCATTTGTAATCATTTTACTTTACTTTATACTTTTAATATATTATTTCCCTTTGCTTTTTGGTTTTCTGTTATGTATCTAGAGATGGTATTTTATTTACTTTTGTTTTCTCTTGTGAATTGCTCAATATGCATCTGGTTTTTAATAGTTATAAATTGAGTACCTTAGTATATATTTGAGCCTATAGTTTTAGAAGTATCAAAGTCAATGTAATAATGATAATTATAATTATCAGCTAATGTTTATTGAGCTCTTAATATAGGCCATGCTACATGAGGAATAAACAGTGTATATGCATTCATTTAGTCCTCACTGTAGGACTCAGAGACACAAAGTTTAAGTGACTTGCTCAAGTGGAACAGAAACTGTCAATTGCCTACTCTGCGGATAAGGACATTAGTATAATTTTACTTCATTCCACATGCTTTTAACTTTCCATCCATTTCCTGCTTTTTTTGTGGTTGTTGGAGGAATTTTAGAACTGGAATTTTAATAATTAATTATTTTTACAATATGTATATTCTTTCAATTAAAGATGCTTTTATTTTGTTTTGAATCCCCTTTTCCTTTAACCATTTAGACTTAATTCCATGTTTAAATGCTTTGAGGACTTGCCATTATTTCCTCTGAACCCTGCTCTTTTTTAAGTTATTTAACACAGTTCCTTATAGGAATAACTGATATGTTTTTGAGCAATTTTATATGGAAGATATGTTATTTCATTGTGTTTACCAAATAATCACTTGCTTGATTATAGAATTTCCCTTCAGATCCTGTGTATTTCTCTTATGTCTTCTTATATTTAGTGCTGTGTAGGAAAAGTTCAAGTCTATTTTTGTTTTTCTGTTTTGTTTTGCCTTGTAGTCTATCTGGTTTATTTCTGCCCAAATGCTGGTACCATTTTGTTTTGTTTTTTTTTGAATACAATTAATTTCTATTGTACAAGTAATTCCTGAAAATATCTTCCTTACAAATATTAAAACTGTACAGATTTTTGAAAAATTCCTATTTGACTACCCTTTCTTGAACTCAAAATCTTTCCCTAGAGGTAATGACTGTGAGCATTTTGTATGAAGTTTTCTATGGATTTACATCCATATATCTGTAAATATGGACAAGGCATAGTATTCTGTATACTATATTCTGAGAATAGATGTCAAAGGCATAAGTTAGGAGTTTTTGGTATGGGGGGGGTAGGGGTCCAGAGCAGCCCGGTCACCTGAGAAAGAAAACCCCTCTGTAATAGTAGGTGAGGAGGCCAGTATCTGATGAGATAGGCCTTGGACTTCTGATTCAAGATTACAGGAAAGGGTGGCGTAATCAACCAATTCCTACCTCAGCTTCAGAGTTCACATAACCAGTGGAGATTCTTCCTGGATTCTGAGAAAGGTATATTTATTAGTTAACCTTGTTAGGTTTTCTCTTTTTCTCATGTTTTTTTTTTTTTTTTCTGTGAGGTTTTGGAAAAAGTGAAGTCTTGTACTTAGATAGCAGGAAACCATCTTGGGGAAAAAGTAGGACAAGCAGCTATTAAAGGGCAATTCACCTGGAACCCCAGGAGAGAATAGCTTAAATAATAAGCCTTTCTCCAGTGTACTGTTAATTTTTTGATTAGGAAAGAGGGAGGCCTCTTTTCATGAGAAATCAGATTGTCCAGTGAGATTGGTGCTCTGACACTGAACTAGAGAGATTCAGGCAATGAGCTTGGGCCCTCTCTGGTCTGAGCTCTAGAAAAACAACTCCCAGACTCTTCCCTACCAAGCAAGCCAGCCTACTGTGTCCAGCTCCTTATGGATCTCATAAGAGTTTGTTTCCCAAGTGAACCAATTTAGTAAAAATGTGTTTTCCCATCTTAACTGCTCCCTTAACTTCCAAAGAACATGTGATATTCCAGATTACCACCCTAAACTGCTGTCATTCCTGGCAACAGCAAAAGAGGCTCTGTCTCACGAGCCAAAGGAGCTTGCTGTGGGTAGGCAACCTGAGCCAGGCTTTTGGAAGTTTCGAAGACAGAGCAATTTACTACCTCTAATGGCATGCATTTTGTTGCCATTTGTGTTTATAAAAAAAGGAACAATCAAACAGAGCGAGGAACTGCTGACTCATGCATTTGTTGGGTCTGGCAGCTCCTAGTCTTGCATTAGGTAGAGTATGCCTTCTGGAAACACTCAGTCCAGTGATCCTCTCCCGACTCACATTGCTCTCCATCTTGCCATCTGCTTTGTTTCTTCATAATGCTTAGGATGGTTTGCACTTACCTAGTGTATGCACTTCTTCTCTACTGGTTATGTGAGTTCTAGAACTGAGATGGGAATTGGCTGGTTATTCCACCTTTTTCTGTGGAGTAAATCTTGAATTAGAAGTCCAGGGTCTACCTCATCAGACAATGGTCCATTCACCTGCTATTGTAGAGGATTTTTCTTTCTTACTATGTCCACAATGTTCTGGGCCCTTTCTTATCTGGGTTGGTCTTTCCCCTCCTCTGTAATGTATGCTTCATGAGAGCTGAGGTCTTGCCTGTCTTATGTACTGCATGGCCTCAGTCAAGAGAGGATATTGCCACAGAGAAGACATTCAGTGAATGTGTATTTAACTTGTTGATTGAACCCATAGATTAAATTCCTGATGGTGGAAGTTTGAACACCAGAGTCCCAGGTGGGAAAAGAAACCATGAAACAATAGGACCCTGACTACTTGGGGGTTCTGCTTATATTGGGGAGTTTCCAGACTCTGTGTGTAGTCATTCCTGTGGTTCTCTTCTTTCGTATCCATAAAAAAATGATGTGTGTATGTCAGAGTAATCAGCCAAAAGATAAACATGGATACAAACAAATTCTGAGTTTAGATTCAAATATCATGTTGCACAAATGCAAGTTGAGGGAGATGTTTCTTGACAACAATTTGCAGAAAAAATTATGTTTTGGTTGACTTATTGTGAATTAACAGCATGAATATCTGTCAAAATTTTACATGAGTAACGGACTATCACGTCTAATAATGCAAGAACATCAACATTCATCATGGCCACCATTTATGTTGCACTAACCATGTACCAGGTACTGTCCTTAATGCTTTTTTATATGTGACTACAACTCTTGACAATCTTATCTTCATGTCTGTTTTGTGGTTGGAGAAACTTAGGTTCAGAGAGTTTCACTTGTGCCAGGACACAGAGCTAGGACACGGTAGACCCAAATGGATCTGACTTAAAAGCTGTTGTTCTTTACTACTGATTTTCTCAGTGCTCTGTGTGGGCTTGAACATATCTGGGGCATTGGACTTAGTTCTAGGAGACATACTTTAAGACAGACAATAACCAAATGGCGGCCTCATAGGGAGGCTATTGGCATGGTAAAGGATATGGAAATCACAGCATGTGGGCAATTCTCAAAGAGAAGGCGGATGCATAATGCAGAGGAGAGACAATGGGAGGTGGAGGTCAGAAATGAAAGGGTGTCAAATGGAAGAAAGCAGACATGTCCTGTGTGGCTCCAAATGGCAGAACTGGAACAGCAGATGGAAGTGACAGTGAAGCAGATTTCAGCTTGACACGAGAACTAACTTTCTAAAGAATAGAGATGTGGGATGAAGTTCTTGAACTCATCCTCCTCCTCCCTTCAAGCCTGTACAACCATCTGTCAAAGATGTTGGATTTCAGGAAGGAGATCCTTCCACCTCCAAGAGTCTGGGATTTTCTAGATGAGTCTTAAGTTTATTTAAAATAAAGGTAAAGACTATTTAAGCTGATTTAAGGTGAATCTTGTCTAGGGTCAGGGGAATGATATTACTCTCTGAGTTTCTTTCAGCCTTTTGAGCAGGTAACTCTTCCACTGGGGCCATAGCTGGGCCACATTTGAAATCAGAAAGAGAAAATCATTTTTGTTCTGATTGTAAATCCTCTTCAAAAACAGTATTTCTTAGATGGTCTTCTTGTATTCAATTTGTTTTAGTATTTCTTGTGTATTTATTTTGTGTCACTCCTGGGTAGGTGCTGAAATTTTAATCACAACCCCTGTGTAGCCCACTCCTTAATTCCATCTTAGGTTAAGACCATGTACACACTCTGGTCTCTTGTGGCCCCTCCAACCCCTCCTGTCCCTAAGGTACATATAGATGTGTGGGTAGAGGTTACCTGGGTTTGTAATTCACAAATCCTCATAAGCAGTGGAGATAAACAGGAATGAATCCCACCTGATTACAAGGGAAGAAGGGACAAAGCTGGCTCCAAGCCAGTTTGGGTTGAATTTTCTCTGGAGAAAGTGTGCTCATGATTAGTTTCCCACCGAACTTGTGGTGCAGAGAGCATCTCCAAAGGGCTAGATGAATTGCGGTCATGTGCAATTTCCCAGGGTGTCCAAAGCAGATGTAGAATCTTGGCATAAGATTTGAGAACCCCATTCCCTGAAATTGCCCTTCTATGGGCCTGAAATCTTACAAGTAGAACACTGCTCTTCTGTGTTAGGTATTTCCCTAGGTATTCTTCTAAAGAAGGCAATCCTTCCAAGAGATGAAATGCCTTCACTCCTGATGTCACTATTAGGAAGGGAGTCTTCCTTCAGGAGTTGAGTTAGTAGTTTATTTGTTACTTGCTTCAAGCTAAGCACTATGCCCGTACAAGTTTTTCTTAGTTAATATCTACCACAGCACTGTAATTATATACTATTGCTATCTGCATTTTATAGATGAGGACATTGAGTTTTAGAAAGGTTAAGTACTTTGTCTAAGTTCACACAGCTACTAAAAGGTGGAGTTGGATTTGACTTCAGAACCTATATTCTTAACTAGTATGTAATACTGTAGCTAACACTCTCTAAATATAGTAATTATCTGACTCTCAGACACAGGAGAG